CACCTGAAGGTCATTTATGAATATATTAACCATCTGCTGTTGTTCCACCAACCTTCCAGGAAACTGAAAAACAGCTGAAACACTGAGATGTTTAAATCCAGGCTCCAATCTGACCAAATGTGATGCTGATCATTTGTTTCATAACTGCTGAGTTATGATGTTTTTTTGAATCGCTGGAACGAAAGCTGAACAAAATGTTCAGATTCTGTCAACAAGCATCAAGACGGCTTTTAAATCCTTTTTCAGAGATGAAAACATTTCTTTCTGCTGATCTAAGCCACGATGCCTGATTGGTCCATCCTCAGAGAATGAGGAAGAGGACGGGTAACAGGAAGTGAGGCAGCCTCTCATCAGGAGAGCAGAGAGGAGAAGGAGGAAGTGTGGAAACAATAGCTGCTCTCTGTGAGGCCTCCGCAGCCAGAGACGCTCCTCATCCTCAGAGCAACCAGCTGCTCCAGGAAGAGCAGCCGATCGCCCATCAACCAGCAGCAGGAAAAGCAGCCGATCGCCCATCAACCAGCAGCAGGAAAAGCAGCCGATCGCCCATCAACCAGTTTCCCATTCACTGTGACTTCAACACAAACCTCAAAGATACATAAACCTGGAAAAGTAAAATAAAAGCAAACCAAACAGAATCTGCCTGTTTGCTGTTTATTAATAACAAAGTTCTAAAAACAATTTAAGATCTTGTGAAAAGATTTCCTGAGAAGTGAAGAAAATGTAAATGAAATGATAAAAACATTTCAATGTGAGCAGCAGCTCAGCGTTAACATCGATTTTATAGAAGAAGAAGAAACGCGGCCCAAACATCCCGCAGGAGACCACTTCCTCATTTTAGGTCCACTCAGAAATGCAATGCAACCACAGCGTTGCTATAGCGACTACCCATGCTCTTGCCTCCCATTTTATTTTGAAATCCATCATCAGGATGAGACTTCCTGCAGGATGACTTCCTGTTTCTGTCCCTACAGCTGATGACTCAGCAGCAACACTTTCATGCTCAGACGGCATCCCGTAACGCTGAGTCACAGCCTGACGCAACGCCGAGGAACCGGGCAGAACCGGGC